AAATTTAATTTTTTTTTTTTTTTTTTTTTTTGAGACAGGGTCTCAGTATGTAGTTGAGACTGATCTGGAACTCACTATGTAGCCCAGGCTGGTCTCAAACTCACAGTGCTCCTCCTGTCTCAGCCTCCCAAGTGCTAGGATTACAGGCGTGTGCCACTATGCCTGGCTTGAATCTTATTTTATTTCTGCTAGCTTATATTTTCTAAATCCTTTTGTATTTTAGAAAACAAGTGAAAAAAACCTCTAAAAGAGAATTTTGGAAATTCATAGTACCTGTTCCCTAAAGTTGTTGTTGATGCTTTTTTAAATAAAAGATTCTTTATATCCTTCCCTGAGTTTCATTATCTAGTCATGTGAGAAAAAATTAGCAAATGTATAAAATGTATTATTACTTAGAGATCTATTTTTAAGTATAAAGGAAAAAGACTTTTGCCTTTATTGTGGCTTTTCCTTTGAAAAGAATTTCTGTGAAATTTTCTTTGTGTTTCACAGATTATACCTGAAATTTAGCAGGCATCGTACTTCATATAAAGGAGACATAGTCTCGTTACTAGCTCATAATTCTTGTCAAAATAATATTTATTCAAAATGCCTTTAAGAACTTACCACATATTACTTAACTAACACTAATTAAATTTTTCTAGTAAGTATTACATAACAAAAGAGACCTTAAAACTAAGGACTTTTTAGCAGTGTTTTCATTTTTTAATTAAATTTCAATTCTTAGAAATAATAAACTTTAGAAAATGAGGTACTTGTCTCATTTTCAAAAAACAGCTTTTTTCCCTAAAACACAGAGTTCCATTTCTGAATAATGAAGATGAGCATAAGTGCAGAAATGCCATAGCAATACTGAATAGTTTTGATGTTCATTGTGGTAAGAAGCCATTCCCCAAAGGGAACCAAGAAACAACCACAGCGGTACCCTAGTTTTCTGCTCTTGGAAGCCAGAGCCAGTGAGAGGTTGGACTGTTCAAACCATAGGCAGGTTGGTTACCTCAACTCTTTATTTTTCTACCAGAAAATTTTTGTCTCATTCCACCTTGTTAATATGACAAGTGTTAAAATATTTTGAAATACACATGGAAATGTAATTGTTTCTTTGCAGTTAAAGGAAAAGGAAGCAATATTGAAAGAAAACTAGACTTTTATTATTATAATTAACATGTTAAATGCATACCATGATGTTTCTATATGTGCATTGATCCTGTCCACCCTCCCTCTCCACTACTCTAGCCTCCTTCCTAGTCCCTATGAGTCCCTTTTCTCTTTCCAGGTCATTTTTTTAAAGTTTCTGTAAATGGATAATTAGCTTTATAATTCATTTAAGATCAGTAGTTAATTTTTAATATAAGCTAATTATTAGAAAGAATTTTATCATCAGAACTCTGGGAAGCTGAAGCAGGAAAATAGCCAATTTGAACCCAGTCTGGGCAAATTAATGACTCCGAGAGACCCTGTCTCAAAATATTTTAAAAAATGATAATGCTGAGATATAGAGTATGTACCTCATTGCAAAGACTTTAGGTTCAAGCCTCAGTATGGAAACAAAAAGTACACCCAGAATTGCATCAAACTACTTTTTTAGTTTCATTTTTAGATTTATAATTGACATATAAAATATGTTTATAGGTGCATTATAATATAAAATTTGTGTAATGATCACAATCTGATTAAGTAGCATACCCATCCCCTCAAACATTTATCATTTCTTTGTGGTGAAAACATTCAAAATTCTCTCTTCTAGCTATTTTTTAAATATATTGTTAACTATAGTTGCCCTCCTGTTCAATAGGATGCTGGAATTAAAAATGACTTAAGAAACTGTTTAAAGAAAACAATTTTAAATGACCACAGGATGGCAGCATAGGAACAAAATTAGAATTATGTTCCATGGAAAACTTCCAAAATCCAAAAAACTCTCAAATCTGAAGTATTTATTATCCCAAACATTTCAGATAAGGGATACTCAGCTTGTGCTACCACTACCTGATAAGTTAACTATTTCTATTACTTTATAACCAATTTCCTCTCACTGCTTCTAATACCTGTGTAAGCTGATGACTCCCATAGCTGGAACTCCTTTCCTCTGAACTAAGCCTTACTTAAGCAACTGCCTGTCTGTCTTCTCCACTTCCATACCTAACAGACATCTGAAGTCTGAAATCTTGCTAGCCTCCTTACCTGACAAACATGCCTTTCTCTCAGTGGCCACACCTTGCATAGTGATGCCCAGTCCACCAGCAAACCCTTCTGGCCCAACCTCCAGGGATTCAGTCTGGCTGCATCACCGCCATCTCCACCATGATGTAATCTGCCCTTGTTTTCCGCCAGGACATGGAACAGCCTCCCAACTGGAACTTCAGCTTTGTCCCTTCACACCTGTAGGCCTTTCTTTACCCCGCACTCCCAGTTACCTTTTAAAAAGCTAGAATGTCCCTCTTCTGAAACTTCTAAATGACTTCCTGTCTGATTTCAAATAAAATCCAAAGTTCATTCCCTGCCCATACACATTTAGCCCTCAGTTATTTGTCGCATTTCTACCCTTAGGGCTTCTTCCACACTGATGTCCTTAGTGTCCCTAAGCCTGTCTTCACCTTTGCACACACTCTTTCCTCTACTCCACATGCCCTTCCCCAGTTCCCTCTATGGCTTCCTCCCTCACTTCCAGTTTCTCTAGACCTGAGAATCCCTCAAACCACCCTTTTAAGGTGGAATCTCACCTGGCCACTCTCTCTACTTACCCAGCTTCATTTTTCCATGTAGCATTTATGCCACCTGATGCCCTGTTTTACCTGTTTTTTTTACTGTCTGCTCCAGTGGCATTAACTGCCAGCCCTCTCAGAACTTGAACTTTGCCCATTTATGTACTGCTATATCCCCAGCACTTAAATAGTGCCTGTCATACCGTAGGCTATTAGAAATTAGTTGTTGGGTGAATGAAACTAAGAAAGGGGCAAGTGAGGAAAGAAAGGAGAAGAGGTCCCTAAAAAGAAAGGGTTTTAAGGGTCTCATGTATAATAAGAGTGTTTCTGGGGAAGTGGGCTCAAGAGGAGAACCTCCAGGAAGTTTCCTTTGAGTGCCCAGTCTTCAAAATCATGTATCTTTAATCTTCAGTCAGTCTCCATTCGTTAAAATTAATTCCCTCTAGGAGAAAAGTATTTTTCATTTCGTCATCACTAACTTATCACTAACTTTGTTACAGCTTCTTGAACAATTAAGTGAAAATAATCTGAGACCTTACCAACATGAGTTTTATTATACATTTAGGAGTTTTTATGTAATTTTAACTAATAATTGCAAGTTATGTAATTGACATACAGTATAAATTTAACAAGCTAAAAAATTACCATTTGAATTTTTTTTCACTGTGGTACCAGGAATTGAACCAGGGGACTCTACTATTGAGCTCCATCTCCAGCCTTTTTAAAATTATTTTTTATTTTGAGACAGAGTCTTTATAAGTTTCCCAGCCTGGACTCAAATTACAGTCCTCCTGCCTCACTCTCAGGAGTTAACTGAGATTATAGGTGTGTGCCATGGTGCTGTTACCAGCTGAATTTTGACATTGGTTTGGGTTTGCGTTAGTGCCATCATTGTTTGGTCATGACTTTGTTCTTTGAGTATTTCTTTTGTTGTTAATATTCCAGTGACCTTTGATTAATAACTTCATTCCCTACCCACCTGTGGAGGTAAGTAAATCATATCATTATCCTCCTCGTAGGAAAACAGCATCATCCTCAATGGGACTGTGACGGTCAGCACGACTCGCCTGCCCAGCTCCTCCAGTGGAGACCAGTTGGGTGGTGGGGACTGGGTGCGCTACAAGCTCTGCATGTGTGCTGATGGGACTCTCTTCAAAGTGCAAGTGACCAGCCAGAACATGGGCTGCCAAACCTCAGACAATCCATGTGGAAACACGCATTAGAGTGCCAGAGGTCATCCATGTTTGTATCTTGACCTTCGTTTTTAGAGTATACATGCACATCATGTTTTTACAGAGTTTGTGATAACTCACTGGAATTATTTTAACTGGGAGCACTAATGTATCTATTATGTAGTCTCCCTATTTAAAATATTCTTGAGACCCTAAATTCTAATATATTTTATTGAGTTGCACTGTTTCAAGTGACAGTGCTCTAAATAATTATAAGAAGTTAATAAAATTAATCTTTAAAGAAGTGTTTTTAAAGTTCCACTATTCCTTGTCTAAAGGATTTTAAAGGGCTGAAGCAATTTCTTAGACTCTCTATAAGTAGGCTTTGGGCCTGATAGTCCCACCAGAAGCTCGACATCTATTTTTCTTTTTCTTTTTAAATTAGTACATGTTTGCAGTACATAGTTTTTCATGCTCTTTTTTTTGGCTTCTAATAGGAAAGACACAGATTTTTAGTGCACAGACCTTGAGCCATGTTCTCACATGCATGTGAAGGAATTAAAGAAGTGTACATATGTGAGACAATAAGAAACCATGGTTCCTTAATTTTGCACTAAGAAAATACTCTGTAATAGAGTGTTTTTTTAAACAGTGATAAATATTAAATGTTCATAATGTCATGAAAATTAAAACTATCTCAGCTTTAACTTTTAAGTAATAATGATAGCTGTCATTTATTGAGTATCTTGTACTTCCTTGCCATTGTCCTAGGCATTGCATGTTTAATATCTAACTCTCACATCAACTCTGTAAGTAGGTGTTCTTATTTTTAACCAGTAAGAAATTACAGATCAAAGAAACTAAGAAACCTGCCTAACATCACGTAGTAAACAACAGAGCTGGGATTGGAATTCAAGTGTCATTTAAATCTACATGTACCTGATGCCAAATACCATCTTCTTTTTAATATCTGCACTTAATTTTCAATCATGTAAAACTCTAGAAAGATGAAAAAAAGATGAATTAAAGCTTACCTAACCTAAACAGGTATACCACTCTAGTTAAAAGACAAATAAATTTCATGTCACCAAAAAAAAAGACCAATAACTGTCAGATTTAACTATCTTAAGCCAATTTCAAAATATTATTATATAGAGAGGACTAATTTGACCTTCCGTGAGTTGCACCAACTTTCCAGCTTGGCACACCAGAGTGTCTGGGCTACAGAGATTCCCAGGGTTCCTACTTCCCACCTCAGGGCAGCGCAGGGAAGTTAGGCAGGCCATGGGGCCTGCTCCAGAAGTGGCCTCACAAGGTACTGTGCCCTGAAAAGAAGTCAGGATGCACTGGACTGAGTGCTAATGCAGGAGGAAAGATGAGCAATTTTAAATAAATAGAAAAATTTATTTTTGCTTCTCATGTCACTCTGTAGAATCATTTAACACAGACACAGCATAAATGACAGGGACCTCAAAATAGAATGCCATAAAACAGGCAGGAAGTGTCATAGGCCCCACCTACACTGAAGTATAACCATATTCTATTAATACAATACAATCAATAAAAAAAAAATTGGTATTCAATATAGCTGATTCTTTCTGACAGAAAAACCAAATACCTTAGAGACTATGAAGTCAATAGATTATACTAAAATAAGATTTGTTTTATTATCTAACACTGAGTGCAGCTTTTAAGTGAAAAGAGAATGAGATGTGTTATTAATTGTAGTGATATTTGAGCTTATTTGAATATATTCAATATCACTTAATATCTGAAACCTACACAGAAAAATCATTGGAATTTTGCGTATATGCTCAGTATATTTTAAATTTTTACGTTCATTACTTGTCTGCTGTAGGTTTTGATTCTTTAAATATTTTTACTAAAACCACAGAACACTATCAAAGTATTATTGAATCTAATTCATAAACTAATCTATTTTGACTTCTGCTTGAGAAGTACTTGTGTTTTTGACACATCTCCATTAAGTGCTTTTGACATGAGAAGACATTTTGGTGTTTTTATAGAACTGACTATTAAGTATAGCACTTTGGTACACTTTGTAAGTGGTCCATGGTTTTTCACTCAAAAGTAGACCTCGAAAATGTACTGGGAAACAAAACAAGAACAAGCCAAGCATTTTACCTGTGACCTATCTTCATTTACAGTAAAGTTGCAGCTACCCAAACTCACCACCAGATGGTATTTTTTTGTAAGCAGAAAAATTTATCTCTTCCTGCTGTATGTTCACTCTGCATTGAGCAGCAGCCTTGGGGATGTGGCTGACAAATACAAGACCTTACTTAAATGATAAGAATGTTCTAGAGGTACAGGTACCTTGCAATGATAAGGGGGACAAAAGAAAGAAATACAAAAAAGTTTAGACTCTAATGGGCTGAAGGGGAAAATGCAAAACCACACAAACAGGGACTGCCTATAAATAGTCTGTAGTATTTTAAAATGTGTATTTGTATTTTTGCATTGTAAAAAAAATGCATTTTGTGTGGCAGTTTTTTTTTTTTTTTTTTTTTTTTTTTTTTTTTTTTTTTGGTACCGAGGATTGAATTCCAGTCCTTGTGCTTGTGAGGCAGGCGATGGAATCACTGAGCTAAATCCCCGGCCCCATATGGTAGTTTTGATGATGAAAGGTAGAAGTTCTACACAGTTTTGAATGTTAATGGTGCTAAACTTAACAGAAGAGACCATTGAAGTGCTACTAATTTTGGTATTCTTTTTAGAAGTGTTGAAAAAGGCTAAGATTAAAAATTGGGTCATATAAAAATCAACCTATAAGTTTGTTTCATGTTGCTAGCTTGAGTTTCAGTTCAGTTTATAATAATTATTAATGACTTCTCTTTACAATAAAAATTCTGTAAGCTGTTTGCTCTTAGTTTTTCAATGGTTATATATTGGGTTTCTGTTTGGTCATGAAAACATGATTTAAACGTGGCTTGAGAATGGGACACCAACTGTATTCATGAAATCTCCCTGGAATCAGGTTTGAAAGCTGGGCGTTCCCAGATTGGATATCCCTCCCTCCCGCGTGTTCCAGAAGGCCTGGGTCTAGTGCAGCCGGGGAGTGCACACACTCACCATGGCAAGAGGCCGGAGCCCGGAGAGGAAAGGGTGAAGGCCTGCCAAGCAGCAGGTGTGATGACGGGATGGGTGGAGCCTCTCAGCTCAGGTCTAAACCCCCACCTGCCTTATCCAGCCAGCTATAGACCACTTGAAAACTACGTGAGGATATTCAGGTATGCCTCCGGAGCAGTGTTAGCATGGGGTTCTTTCCACATCATGTTACCACCAAAGGTAATCCCTCGTGGTTTCTGTTCACCTTCTCTTTATGTAAGATTGAATTCATTTCCTTTCTACTTTTTTTTTAACTATCTTTTCCTCATTTTTTCTCTCACTCTCTGATATGCATACACACCCAGTTTTTTTAACGGCTTTCTCCTAACTTCAGCTTGAATATGTCTTTAAGACATATTGTATCTAATTGTTTCCAGTTTCTTCAGAAGCTTTTTCTGGAGGTCTCAGTGGTTTCTTAGGTAGTACATATAAATTTGTATGTAATATAAATTTTTTCATATATTAATACCTTTCACTTTAAGATTGAGATTATCTTTGATATTTTGAACTCGAATCTATTAATGTATCAGTCTCTTCAACTTAAAAATAAGCAAGGCAATAAAAGTGTTTAATTTGTATCCCCTTAAGAAAAAGTATTTTTCACTCACATCTTTCTCTTCAGTTCTGCAAAATAATGTGCCTATGAATGATGGCAATTTTTTTTGTTGTTGATAATGTTGTTACATTAGCTTGGTATACAGTTGTATTATATACTCATAATAACTGCAGCTTCCAATGTAGAGACAAACATCTTTCTGACTGGGGGAAAATTCAATTTCTGTTATGCATGAGAGGCACACTGTAAATCACTTCTTGCTGGAGGGCACCTTTGCAGTATGTACTTGAAGATGATCCTTAGATGCCCTTCAAAATATGTCAGAATTCATCTTTAAACAAAAATTTTAAAGTTATATTGTAAATTACTTTCATGCCATTCATTCATGCAAAGAGCATAGCCCAGTGACAGATTATAGACTATTAAAAATATTAGACATGTGAATATATATGTATGTGTGTATCATAGTCCTTAACATTGTTTGAGGTGTTCAAAACAGACACAGAGTAAGCACTATCAATGCAGGATCACATTTGCATTCTTCCAAACTGACTGTTACAAACATGCATTTATTTATTTAATAAATATTTACTGAAAGCTTTGGGAAAGCATAAAGATAGAGGCTAGCGCAGGAAAATAGGTCTCACACAGGATTTGAGATAAGTCTTGAAGGAAGTACAGGATTTAGTCTAGGAAAGGAAAAGACATTGAGCTTGGAATTGGGAATGAATGAAAAGCTAATTTTAGCATGAGATACATGTACATACACAGCTCTTCGTCCAGGCCACATCTTGCAGTTACTCTACATGTACTCACCAAGCTTATTTCCTAAGGTTAGCCAGGTAATGTGAAGCTCTTGGGTGCCAACCTGAGGGATCTGGACTATAAGCAATAAGGAATCCTTTGAAGATCCTGAATAAGGAAATTATTTGAAGAAAAAAGGATTTTGGGAAAATAACCCTTTGGAATTACCTAGGATGGATCCAGAAAGAGTCAGGTGGCTGGGGCAAGATGGGTTAAAGCAGTTGAGCATTTCCCACCGTGATGATAAAAACTAGCTGTACCACAGGTCCAAAGGAAGAAATGATTTATTATGACTTCTATACTGAATGATGTATTTATACACACACCAGTGTTTTTGGTTTTGTATATTTGGTTTTGCACGGCACTGGGGATTGAATCTGGGGGCTTCACACTGAGCTGCATCCCCATTCATTCAGATAGGGACTCACTAAAATCTCTTGAGTTGCCCAGACTGTGTCAAACTTTCAGTCCTCCTGCTTCAGGCTCCCACAGACCTGGGGTTATAGGTGTGCACCATCTTTGGCTACATACTGGTTTTTAAATGGAATTTAGTTTAAAATGTATCCCAAAAATCTGTATGCATTTCCTTTAAAATCATGTTTGTGTGTACATTTAGGCTTTGTAACTTGGATTACTTGTTTTATAACTTTCAGTTGCTTCTCAAGAATTTTTAATGAAAAAGATACCTGATGTTTTTCTTATTGCATCTTGACTCTGAGGCACAGCTTCCTTTTCATAACTCATATATGTTGTATTTAATGTATTTAAATGATTTAAAAATTATTCAGTAAATCACAAAAGCCACAAAGATAAAACTTGTCCTTCTAGTCATAAAATCATGCATCTCTTTTGTGAGTTGAACTTTCTATTCATGAAGTTGTGGGAGGTTCACAACTTAGTGGATGTCACTCATGTCATAAACCACATGGCTGATTACAGTGTCCTAGAAAAGTGTAACAGACTTTGCCCCCTACTAATGACCAGCAAAGAAACAGAGAAGTCTTCAATCTTGGAAGTTTCATTTTCTCCAAAACAGACTTCAGGACGAAAGATACTGCAAAAGCAAATAGAGAGTTAAGGCCTTAGTGAATATGTATTTTCTGAAAATGCAGGTAGCCTTTTCTTTAGAATGTCACATAAACGCGATTTTGTACCGTTTTGGTAGCTGCGTTTTGATGTCTCGATCTCTAAGAAATCAAACATTCATTTAAATCCATAAATAACTCCTAAATCTTAAATTTAAAAGTAAAATTTCTGTTTCTTATTTGCTGTTAGTTTTTATATAGTTTGAAAAGTCAGTTTTTCTTTCTCTAGGCATCCCGAAAAGCATCTATTTCAGAGCTATTACCATAGTTATAGGTCTTTACTGGAACAATGACAAACCTGCCAGGAAAAAGCAGTGTTTTCTTCAATTCTGAGCATCAGTGGAATGACTATCTTCTGACAAACTGTTCTGCTGAGAAGCATTGAGATTCCCATGGACAGACACAGACAGCAGCCTCAGTGGAAGTAGAGTTCTCTTACAGCCTCATACACACACAAAAAAAGAACAGAAAATAAAATGCTTGGACATCAGTAACAATCTCATATCAAGAGTGATCTTCGGTCCTCTCTCATATTTACACACTTTGGAAATACTAAACCTCGGCAACAGTGCCATTCACTCCATCTCGTTAGATCTACCCACTCTTCGCAGGGGAGACACCAAAGGAGCGGCTTTCAAAATGGACTTCCCTCTCCACAGGTGCTCATTCTGCAAAGAAAAGCTCACTGGCACGCCTGAGGGTGAGTACAATTTTAAAAGATGGACTAGACAGAAATGACGAGTGTGTGGAGAATTGATGTTTTATGTGAATAAGAATTCCGTATTTGTTTTCAGTTTCAAGGAAACAGCTGAAAGTAAGGCGATTTTATCGGAGCAAATACTGTACAATAAAAGGAGGGTTTTTTTGGTTTTGTTTTGTGTTTGCCTGGAACCAGGAGTACTCTACCACTGAGATATACCCCTAGCCCTTTTTATTTTTATTTTGGACAGGGCTCCCTAAGTTGCCTCGGCTGGCTCTGGACTTGAGATCCTCCTGCCTTCATCGCCTGAGTAGCTAGGATTACAGGCCTGTGCCACCTTGCCTAGCCACAAGGCGTTTCCTCAGTGGTGTTGGAAGTTATAATATATGACATTCATAGTAAATGCAATTCAATCCCTGATAGTGTAACTTATACTAATTTATATGGATTTGCCAAGAGACACTAGGAAGTATTTAAATGGTGCTAAATAATAATGTATAATTTTAAGCTGTTTTGTTTATTGTGTATTTGATGTGAAACAGCACTGAGAAATAACTAGTTCAGATATTTTAATATGTAACAATTCAAATTAAATGTCCCATGCTTATATTTTTTCTTCTTAGAATACATTGTACCTCTTATCTAGTCCTCCCAATGTAAACCAAATATGTGCCAATATGTAGTATGTAATCTTTCCTATTATCAAACAAAATCAGAATTCATTATTTTGGTGTCTAACAAGATAGTCCATATATCTTCCTATTATAATATATTTTTATCTGACATTCAATCATTTACATGTTATAGATCCATATGTATATATCTCAAGACTTATTTTGAAAATATATCTGGTTCTGCTAGAATTCCTTTGCCCTTTTTATATCCTGGAGTGCTATACAGTTTCCTTTCCTTGTTTGTTTTCATTTTGTTCACTGTTTCCTAAGCACTTACTTTACATAAGACACTTATGTTTTAAAAAATAAGGGCGGGGGCTGGGGATTTAGCTCAGTGGTTCAGTGGCCTGCCTTGCAAGTGCAAGAACCTGAGTTCAATCCCCGGTACCAAAAATAAATAAATAAATAAATAAATAAAAATAAAAAATAAGGACACTGCCTGCTTTCTCCCTCTCATATTGTACACACTTAGTTTTCCTCAGTTATCAGCTCTTACATTTCCTATTTTGTTCATTCCTTCTCTAGCTTCTGGCTTTGTTTTAAGCATCATTTTGGCAATAATAATCTTACAGGTAAAGAAAGGCATGATTGTTCTACACAGCATGTCAGAATTGTGAGAGGATCTTCATGACCTCTTCTATGAAACCAATGTGTAGTATTTTCAGTGCAAAGTATAAACTCATTGGCTTTTATTTTATAAATTTTATTTTATTGTTCTTATTACAAAAGAGTTATTTATAGAATGTTATTTATAAAATATTTAGAAATTTTTAAAAATTAAAGCCACTCAAGTAATATATTCCTTAAGTTTACTCTTTATGCCTGTAATATGCATTTTCTTCTAAAATTGGATAAAACTGCATAATATGTAATTTGTATTTTCATGTCACAGAATATTTTAGACACATAATTAAGCAAACTTGTAAATAATATTTAAAATAGTTGAATAGTTTTCATGTACATATATATCATTGGTTTAATTGAGCAACATTTTATTTTTTTAATGAACATCATTATAGTTACACATAATCATTAAGATGTTTTCACACTAGTATGGTAGTTGTAAATCTCACTCACAAATTCAAGTATCCTATAGATATAACCTTCTGCTGTCAGTAACAACATAGTTTCTAAGCTCCAATGGGGGTGGTTATGGGTTACATAGCACTGATTTTTCTTCACCTTTCTTCTGCCTTTTCCCAGATAAGACTGCTGTAGAATCTTATGGCCTGACAAGGCGTGTGTGTGTGTGTGTGTGTGTGTGTGTGTGTGTGTGTGTGTCCCTTTTAACCCATTGATACCTGGATAATATTACTTTGAAAATCTTGTCAATTCTGAGAAGATTCTTTCCCCTTTGTGTT